TGGTAAGATAGTTTTCTTATATTTCTACATTGTTGAGTGATTTTTTTTTCAAAAACACAGAAGAGTTTTGAATTCTTGTCAAGTGCTTTTCTGTGTCAGTTGAGATGATTTTATGCTTTTGTCTCTTAATGTAGTGCATTACACTGATCGATGTTTTGCATGTTGAGACATCCCTGAATTCCAGCAATAAATCCCACTTAGTCATGGTGTAAAATTCTTTTTAATGTGGTGTTTAACTCAGCTTGCAAGGATTTTGTGGTGGATTTCGGCACCAATATTCATTGGGGATATTAATTTGTGGTCTTCTCTTCTTGTAGTGACTTTTCTGGCTTTGCTATGAGGGCAAAACTGGCCTCACAGAATAAATTTGGAAGTGTTTGTCCTCTTCAATTTTTCAGAAATAGATTGAGGGGGATTGCTGTTAATTCTTCTTTAAACATTTGGTAGAATTCTCCAGCAAAGCCCATCTGGTCCTGGACTTTTCTTTGTTGCTGTTATTTACTACAGATTCAATCTCCTTACTCTTTATAGGTCTGTTCATATATTTCTTGGTTTAGATTATTTATTTCTTCAGGGTTCAGTCTTCACAGGTTTTATGTTTCTAGGGGTCTATCCATTACTTTTAGGTATCTGATTTGCTGATATATAATTGTTATAGTCTTCTCTAGTAATCTTTTTATGTCTGTGCCATATGTTGTAGTATTCTTTCATTTCTGATTTTAGCTATTTGATTCTGCTCTCTTTTTTTCCTTAGTGAATATACCTGAAATTTTGTTGATCTTTTTTTTCTTTAAATCAACTTTTGTTTCATTGATTTTTCGCTATTGTTCTCTTATTCTCTATTTCTTCTCTATTTCATTTAACTCTGCTCTAAGTGATGTGATTTTCTTGCTTCTGCTAACTTTGGGCTTAGTTTGTTCTAATTTTTCTCCCTGAGGTTAAAGTTAGATTTCTAATTTGATACCCCCCATTTTTTTTCCTTTTTGTGGTACTGGGGACTGAACCCAGGGGCTACCTCTCCAGCCCTTTTAGGGTCTCACTAAGTTGCCTAGGCTGGCCTTGAACTTGCATCTTCCTATCTCTGCCTCCTGGGTTTCTGGGATTTCAGGTGTGCACCCAGCTGATATTCTTTTATAATGTGAATGTTTATTACTGTAAACTTCCTTCATATGTGTCTTCGCTGCCTTCCATGTTCTGGAACGCTGTGTTTTCATTTTGTCTCAAGATATTTTCTAACTTGTTAGTTATTCTACGACCCATGGGTGGTTTAAAGTGTGTGGCTTCATTTCTACCTTTCGGTGGGTACTCCAGCTTTTCTTCTAGTAATTATTTCCAGTTTTATTCCACTAGGGTTGCAAAACATGCTTTGGGTGATTCTGATCTTTTTAAATCTATGAAGCCTTGTTTTGTGGCCTGACACGTGGTCTACCCTGGAGAATGTTCCTCATGTGAGCCTTTTCTGTTGTTGGATCCAATTATTCTACTGGGTCCAACTGGTCTATAGTATTGTTCATGTCCCCTGTGTCCTCACTGATCGTCTGTCTGGTTGTTCTTTCGTTACTGACTCAGGGTATTGAAGTGTTCTGCCATTATTGCGTGGCTGTCAATTTCTGCCTTCACTTCTGTCGACGTTTGCTTTATACATCTAGGAGCTCATTCACCTGCCCCAGCCACACTGACCTAAGGGATATTCCTTAACCACACTTTGATCAGCCCCCACAATGCTCTCACTCATACTGGTCCCTTTCTGTGGGACGGGACGTCCCTGTCCCCCGAGTGCTCTGTCACATCCTCATAGCATCTTCCCAGGCACCCTCCCCAGTCCAGGTCAAGGTGAGCCCCCTTGTCCCAGCTGCTGGCCACATTCCTCTATTCCCCTCAGTTTGCTCATCAATCCCACAATCGATATCTATTAGTGGTCCTTTAACCACGTGGGTCTGAGGAGACGGTCAGCTACGTGAGGTGACATCCTGGGCTGTGGCCCTGCGTCCTGCATAGAGCTGGGTAGAGCGTAGCCTCTCAGTAAACACCTGGCAGATGGGGGAATGAGATCTCACTCCTGGGAAAGCCTGGGAGGCACATCTTGTCTTCATTTTGTCCTTGAAGAAACTGAGGTTCAGAGAAGGAGGCCACTTGCCCAGAGTCCTGTAGATCAAGATCAGAGCTGGGATTTGAGCTAGGGCCTGGAAATGTGTCCTCCAGCCTCATTCTTGGGGACCCAGGGGCCGGGGTCCCAGGCCCCACATCTCCAGCCCACCTCCTCCTCTTGCCCCACTCCTTAGGCTACACCCCCTTCCTAGCTGTTCTATCCACGTGCTCTTCCTTGAACTGGCTGAATGCTTCCCAGCCTCTGAGCCTTCCACCCTGCCTGTGAGCTTCTCCGATCCCCCTGAGCAGATGTGGGTAAGCCCTCATTCTAACCTGATGAATGGACCAGAGGGGTCCCATCCAGACTCACATTCGCTATCCTGCCAGGCTCACCAACCTTCAACAGCAACATCCCAGCAGCATCACAGTAACCGTCATTGCTTGGCAGCCATGTGCACCCTGTGCCCAGCCTGTGCCTGGCCCTGTGCTATTGACACCAGGTCCTCTCCTGCCACCCTCTTGTGACCTTGTCCTTCCTTTACCTCAGTTCTAGTATATCTGAATGGTGCCTTATTTTCTCAGAGTGAACCACAACATACACCCATTGAGAGATTTCAAGCAATAAAGCAAGACCCTGTTTTCCCACACCCCGTTCCCACCCTGGGAGTGTGCACTTAGGTCCCGTGTACCTGATGTGACACCAGCAGCCCAGCAGTTTCTGGGGAGACCAGGACCCTGGGGAGGTCATGGGCAGCTGGTTCACATGGTCTGTTTTGCCCTGGGTCAATGTCAGCAAATCACTATTCACTGGCGGGGGTTATCTGGTGCAAAGTTGTTCATTTTTCTCTTTGATTACCCAGGCTGGTGCCTACCTCCCTGCTCAGGGTGGGCAGAGAGTCCTGACGAAATCTCGTAGAGGTGCCCCGAGAAACCTGGGTGGAGAACATGTGCAGGCGGCTCGTGGGGAGTCCATAAATCTGGGCTGATGGATCGCCTGGGCAGGAGCCTCTGCCACCAGCACCCTGGCTCAGGACAGGGGCGGCATCGTCACTGCCCTGGTGGGGGTAACCTGGCGCGAGCTCGTCCATTTTTCTCTTTTATCACCTTTGCGCTCAGGAAAGTGTCCTCTGCAGACCCCTCTTATCTAAATGCTGGGTTTATCTAATGGCTTTTCGAGGCCTGGAGGAGGCCAGAGTGTGTCCTGCAGGGAGGGGATGGAGTCCTGATCTGCCCGCTGGTCATGACCTCACCCTGTCACCCCTGGGCACCTTCCCCCGCCCCTCCCTGAGCTGCAGCTGGGCCCACCCCAACCTGAGGCAGCCAGGACCAGGCGGAGGCACAGGACACCTGGGTGCTGTCTGGGACGGGTGTCTCCAAAGGAGACCCCAAACTCCCCCCCCATGGGGTGACCATCTCCTCGCTGCCTGGTGAGGGCTCTTGGCTGCATGAGGACCTGCAGGGCTGTGTCCTCATCTGCACAGTGAGGACGCACCCCTGAGCCATGGAAAGGGATCCGCTGCCTCAAGGCATGGAAAGGAAGGAGGAGGCTGTGTCTGGCTCCTCCGCAGCCTCCGCTGCACAGACACCCACATTGATATGCGGTCACTGAGCCTGTGTGTCCCCTCATGGAGCCAAAGAAAACTGACCAAAATACCCTCTTTTTTTTTCTTTTGGTAGCAGAGATTGAACCCAGGGGTTCTTGATACTGAGCCACATCCCCAGATCTTTTTAAAAATTTTTAATTTTTTTTTGTTTGTTTGTTTGTTTTGAGACAAGGTCTCACTAAGTTGTTTAGGGCCTTGCTAATTTGCTGAGACTGAGGCTGGTCTCAAACTTTTGATCCTCTAGCCTCAGCCTCCTAAATTGCTGGGATTACAGGCATAGGCCACCCCACAGCCCTCTTTATTAGTTAAACACAACCTGAGGGCAGGCCAAGCCCACAGGCGGTGCTTCCTCAACCCAATGGCTGAGGAGGGGCTCAGGAGACCAGGCTGGCTCGGAGGACTCTGCGCCTATTGTTGGCTATTTCTCCCGGTCTCTCCACACCCCCGCCTTTCTCTATAGGCGCAGTGTACTTCAGGGCCTGCTCAGTCCACGCAACAGGTTTCGCCATTCAGTCCTCCTCTCAGTCTTACCAGGAAGGGATCTCAAATGAGTCCCGTTTTCCTGGGAAGGATCTGGGTTCTGAGAAGCTCGGTCAAGGCCTTGTGATGAGAGCAGGACACAGCCCCACCCCGCTACCCCGCCATGAGACCTGGACTAAAGACGGTGAATGACACCAAGGTAGGGGGCTGGGGGGGGGAAGGAACGGGGTAGAGAAGTGAAAGGAGGGGAGAGAAGAGGTGACTTCAAGTTGTGGTGGACCTTGGGAAGATCACTTCTCCCCGATAGTTTGTGTCCACCTGCAGAACGGACCAGAGGCTCCCCGGGGTTCCTGAGCTTGGACTCAGGGGCGGCCTTCCTCCAGGAGGACAGGGCCCCTGGCTCTCCCTGATGCAGGCAGGCTTAGTCTCCTTTTAGGGAAGACCATCTTTGGGGTCTGCCCCTGGAGTTGTTGGAATGGGATTCAGAGGCACAAGGGCAGATTCTTGAGGCTGTAAAAAGAAACACTTGAGACAAATTAAACCTCAGAGTTTAGCTGAGCTACAAACAATGCAAATGATCGGCCGAGGACCAGGGCAGGTTCAGAGGCCCCTGGTCTACCTCAGCTGCTGTGCCTGGCTGGGATTCAGCTGTCCGCCACAAAGGCGATTTCCCAGGTAGGTTTCCTGTTCCTGTACACACTGAGGAGGTGCAGGGACCGGCAGGGACCGGCATGCACAGCTGTGCAGCTTGCTCAGGCTGGAATGAGCTTGACTGACAGCGAGGATCCTGCCCAGGAGCCCCGCCCAACCTCTGGGCGAAGCCCTAGGGCCAGGTCTTCTCTGCTGTAGTGGTGGGAGGATGGCACAGTTGTGTGAAACAGGAAGTCCAGGGGTATGTTTTCAAAATGCAGTTTTTGGTTTTAAATGTAAAATTCCTGAAGCTGTAAAAAGAAACAGCCAAAGGGAAACAGAACAAACGGTAACCAGCAGCTCACACCTGACGTGCCAGAGTCCCAGCCTTTGAGACAGGAGGTGAGAAGGAAGGAGCTGATCCGACCAACAGAGATCAACCCTCCCGCCTCGGAGAACAAAGGGAGGTAGGGAAAACTAAAGGTAGGGAAAACATCTCTTTAAATACTCTGTTACAGTTTGGATGTGGGGTGCCCCCCAAAAGCTGACGTCTGAGGCAGTGCAAGAAGGTTCAGAGGAGAAATGATGGGGTTGGGAGAGTCTTCGCCCAGTCAGTGAATTAATCCCCTGATAGGGATTAACTGAGGGGTAACTGAGGTGGGTAGGGTGTGGCTGGAGGGGGTGGGTCCTTGGAGGTGTGCCTCTGGGGCAAGTGGATCTTTGCTTCTGATCCTCCGTGAGCTGCTCCCCTCCCCCACACTCTTCTGCCAGGATGTTCAGCCCCACTTCAAGCCCTGAGGAATGGAACCGGCTGCTTTATGGACTGAGACCTCTGAAACCATGAGCTCCAAAACAACCCTTTCTCCTCTAAAATTGTTCTTGTCAGGTCTTTTCGTCATAGCACCAGAAAAGGCTGACTAACACATAACCCAATAGGAGGCAGTACCCTGCACCCCACAGCACTCGCTGGTGAGGAACCGGGGAGGGACTAGGAATAGAATGAGATCTAACCACCTGGGTGCACCTGCTCCGCAGATGCCGGTCTTGCCGGACTGTTAGTAAAAACCTTGCTTTTTTGCTGCACTTTGTCTTCTGGTTCATTCTTTGGATTTGGGCAGGTGGGTGTGTTACTCACAGCTGAAGCCCCCTCCCCATGCCAGAAAACCCAGAGCTTCCCACCGTGGGCCTGCCATTTAAGTGGAAGTCATCTGTCACCAGGTCCAGTGTCATATAACTAGTCCTGTGAGGTCAGGGGAAGCAGGTGTCCTTGAACATTTTGGGGTGGGAAGTGTCATGGATATTTGTGGTTCTTCCAAAATTCATGCTGAAACATACACTCAGTGCGATGGTGTGGAGATGGGGTCTCTGGGAGATGATTAGGTCGTGAGGGTGATCCCCCCCTAAAACGATTGAATGCCCATTTAAAAAGGTTCCTGGGAGGGAGTGTGTCCCTTTTGCCCTTCTGCCTTCCACCAGGGGAGGACGCAGCAATAAGGCACCATCTTGGAAGCAGAAAGAACAGCCTTCCCCTGACATGGGATCTGCGGACGCCCTGATCTTAGAATCCCAGCTTCCAGAGCTGTGAAAACACATTGCTGTGGTGTATAAATTACCCAGCCTCAGGTATTTTGTCGTAGCAACACAAATATTTAAGGCAGGAGGGCAGACAACCTGCATTACCAGGGGACTTCTGGTCTGCCCATCAGAGTATGGCAGGGCAGACATTTTCCTCCAAGATCTAGAGGAACATAGCGCTGTGAACATCTCTGAGACCTGCCTGGAGTCCCGCTGGTCTCTGGGGCCCACCTGGGCGGTTCCTTGACGTCCTCAACTTCTATATCCCATAGTCCGTCCCTCTGGCTCTATGTGACTTGGCCCTAGCCACCCTTGTCTCCGTGGATTCCCCTGTGACAGTGGAGTTCCCAGTTTCCATGCATCTCAGGGGTAGGAAGTCCCCCCTCCCAGCCAGGCCCCCCATCCCACAGCCGAGGCCGCACTTGCCCTTTACTGGGGATCTGGTCCAGCGGGTGGAGGTCCAGCCCCCCAGCCCTTAAGGCCCTCGGGGGGCCTCGGGAGACGTCCTGGCAGGCACTGGGAGGCAGTGGGTGGGCGGCGGGTTGTCTATCAGAGACGGACTCTGCTCCCTCCCTGGGCAGACGGCAGCTGGTGGGGGTGGGCTCACGGAGAGCTGGAAGGGGGCCTGCCTTCACCCCTCCACCTTTCAGTGATGTCCTGAGGGTGCTTAGAGATGCTTCAGCAGGAACTCGGTGCAGGCGGCCTCCGAGGGCCAGAGGGGCAGGAGGAGCGCAAGTCTAGGGAACTTGCCAGGTACCACGTGCGACTTTATTATTCCATTTAATTAACGAATTGATTGTTGAATTAACAGTTCTCTCCTGACCAGACACTGCTTTCCTTAGGGCTTCAGTCAAGGAAATGCAGGTGGGCATGGAGGTCAGTCCCTAAGTTCCCTCTCATCTAGGACTCAGGGGTCTAACACGTCAATGTCGTCCCTGGGCCTGGGCTTCTCATTCTGTAGAATGGGGTGGTAACAGACCCACCTTGCCAGGTGCTGTGAGGACTCGGGGAGATGTGGTGCCATGTTGGGCTCAGCACTAGCAAAAGGCATTAAGCCCACGAGGAGCGTCGCCTCTGCTGTTAGATACGGGCGTGCCCTCTGCATGGGTGGGCACCCTTGCAGGTAGAGATGGGCCTCAGAGCCCAGTTCACCCAGTGACCACCCCGGTCATCCACAGGAGCTGAGGCCTGGGGGCTCCTTGCCCTTCCTGTGTCTCCCACAGGGCCTTGGGCAGCCATAGCCAGGGCCCTGCGGGGCGTGGAGGAGCAGGACCCTGGGCCACCCCTCTGCCTTCCTTATTCAGCATTGGATGGGGGGGGGGAAGCCCCCAGGCGCCGAGCTGGTGGATACCATTTATCACCATCTATTCTTGCTGGCGACCTATGCTGGGTTCACAAATCTATTCCAATAACTCAAGAAAACAGCAAAGAAAGCACCCAAACACACAGAAAGGAAGTACCTTTTCAAAATCCAGGACGGCTCTGCGACCCTAGGGCCCTGTGGAAAGACGGAGAGCCACCGGAGTTCTTTATTCTCATATAGGAGACACACAGGGAAGGTTCCATGGAACATTCTGTCCCAAAAAGGGCAAAGGGGTAGGATTACAAAGGAACAGGTGAGTGTAACTCAGTCCCACCAGGTGACGCCCACTCCTTGGAGCCACAACTCATTACCTGAGCAGGGGTAAAAGTCCGGTGTATTGTGGGGTGCAACAACTGTTCAGTACCCCTTTACTCAGGACTTAAAGGTGTGTGCACAGGTACTGTCCAGAGTGGCTCCAGACATGGGGATACAAATCAGGGTGTCCACCCTTGGGCCTCCCAGTCGGATGGCAGAGGCAGGTGCCGATGGGCCAGCAGGATGCGGGAGGTCAGCCCATGTGGTTAGGCGGATGCAGGATTTTTAAGCAGGATTTGAAGCAGCGCTGCAGTGAGGTGGTTAAGGCTCAGAGACTCTGCTGCTTGAGATCTGTCTCTGCCGATGACTGGCTGTGTGCAGGACAGGGGCCAGTTACCTACCGCACTGATCTTCATTTTCTTTACTTGACAGTGGGGATCAAGTTAGTACCTACACCATGGGGATTCTGGGAGGAACCAATTAGATAATGTGCCTGGCACACAGTAGATGCTCATTGAAGAGAGCTGTTATCAACCCATTTCACCCCGTTACTTGGCGTGCAGCACCTACCACACCTAGACTGCAGGTGGAGGACTCCCCAAGGAATGAAACCAGATGTTTGTCCTCACGGTCACTGGCTTTTGGAAGAGAAGGAAAACCGGTTCATTATCGCAGGGTTGAACAGGAATCACAAACCTGGGTTGGCTTTGAATGGGAGAGAAGAGGAGCGATCGGGCTTGTGTGGCGTGGGCCTGGTTGGGCAGGGTGCCCCAGAGGAGGAGAGACCTGAAGGACAGGTCAAACTAACCAGGTGGAGGAGGCGGAGAGAAGATTCTAACCCTGCGGCAGAGGAGCCCTGGGGCCTTCTCAACCCGAGAAGAAGGTGCTTTGTCGGTAGGAGAGCAGAGGGGGGTGGGCAGGGTGGCTCACCCCGTCCCTCCCCTCACTGCTGGGAATGGGCAGCACCAGGCAGGGGCCTTGGCAATGGCCAGGCCAGACGTGCCCAGTGATGGGGGGATGCGTTCTACAGGGATAAGCTGGATGATGGCTTGGGCGGGAGAGGACAGGAGGTGCCAAAGGAGAAGGTTCCAGAAAGAGACCAGTTTAGGGGTAGGAAGAAGGCTGCTGGCTGGGCTACCCTGAGGGGTGGGTGGAGGCACCATTAAGGGGGAGACAGGACTGAGGAGGAGTCGGGTGGGGGGCTAGGAGCCCTTGAGCTTGGACTTGGGCATGTCAGTTCTCAGGCCTTTGAGGTGCTGCCTGAAGGACAGGTGGAGGCCCGGGATCTGGGGGAGGTCGCAGCACCTGAGGCCCAGAGCCGAGGAGGCTAATCCAAGGGCCCTGACTGAGGGCGGAGTCTGCATTCTAACCCTCAGAAACAGGACCCGTGCTGGCCTGTCTCAGCAGGAGGATGGGCTCAGGGCCTCCAGGTCCTGGGAAGACACCTGGTGCAGGAGGGGACTCTGGCCTCAAAGATGTCACTTAGGAACTGTGGTGGTTCAGTGACAGGTATCTGTGGGGGACAGTGAGAGAGGGTCCAGGGGACTTGGACCAGTGATAGGTTGGATCACAGTGAGTGGGTTTAGGTACTGCAAAAAAGCTGGGACTTGGACCAGTGATAGGTTGGATCACAGTGAGTGGGTTTAGGTACTGCAAAAAAGCTGGGGCCACTAGAGTGCTTGATGGGCCAGCTGAGAGGTGGACAGACATGTCCCCAAGAGCTCCTCTGCAGAGGATGGAGTCACGGTGTTGGTTTGAGACAGGTCAGGCACTGTTGTGGTGCTGTACACGGTCATGTGCAACAGACCTCACAACCTGTGCTGTTATCATCACCACTTTATAGATGAACAGACACAGAGAGGTTTAGTAACTTATCCAAGGTCACGCAGGTAGTTAGTGGCAAAGCTGAGGCTTGAACCAGGCAGCAGCCCCTGAGTCATGTTCCTGTGCCTCTAGATGTTTTAGTCACTTTTATTTTATTTTTTGCCGCTGTGACTAAAAGACCTGACAAGAACAATTAGAGGAGGAAGAGTTTATTTGGGGATCCTGGTTTCAGAGGGCTCACTCCATAGGCAGCTGGCTCCATTGCTTTGTGCTTGAGATGAGACAGGAACTCATGGTGGAGGAGTGTGGAGGAGGAAAGCAGCTCAGGACATCACACCAGGAAAGTGGGGAGCAGGAGAGACAGAGCGTGCTCTACTCAACAGAGATAAATATAAACCCGAAGGCACAGCCCCGGGACCCCCTCCTCCAGCCACACCCCACCCTCCAGTTACCACCCAGTTAATCCCTATCAGGGATTAGAGCTCTGATTAGGTTAAGGCTCCCCTAAGCCCATCATTGCACCTCTAAACCTTCTTGCATTGTCTAACACATGAGCTTTTGGGGGGCACCTTCTAGCACTAGATGATTAGTGCCCTCCAAGCTTCTCTCATACAGCGTGGGCTGGTGGGCAGGGGGCATCTGGTTGGAGGAAACTCACCACTTGGTGGTAGCTGCGCTGCAGAGGAGACGGGGGAGGAAAACCTCTGGCTTGTTCAGCTGCCTCTTAAGACAGGAGGTTCCGGCATCACAGGAAAAGGTCTTTGACCTGGTGACTGCCAATGATGGCCACGGGTTCGCCCCATCATCAGGGAGAACCCTCTAAGCAGAGCGGAGAAGTCTAAGGAGCAAGGCCGGGAGGGAGAAGCCCACATTCTCAGTCCTCCGAGCTCCCCGTTTGCTAGAACAGGAAGCCAAGAACAGAGTTCTGTCCTTACCCCAAACACGAGTCCTCCATCACTGGAAAAGTGGAGCAGGCTGGTTTCAATGTTTGTTAAAAAGTAGTCCAAAACAGAGCCAGGAGGACCTTGACTTTAAACACCTCGCTTGACTGCAGCAGGGTCCCACGGGTATGCAGGCACCTAGGGGACTGTGGTGGCCTCTGGGGTTCTCAGGACAGTTCCTTCCTTCTCTGCATCTGCAACTTACCACTATACACGTTCAGCCAGAATACTTGAGCAGGAGGACACCAGGAAGGGACGAACTCCCCAGTGACAACAGGCACCGGAGAGCTCTTCAGGCCCCTGCCCCCACGGGCTCAGGAGAAGAGAATCCGATTCCTGAAGAGGAAATCCAATTAGAACTAAGCAAAGGGAAAGTAGGTTTTCATTTTCTGGAATACAAAGAAAATATTTACACACTGGAAAGTAAATGACAAGATATTGAGGAACTTTAAAGCATCTGCTCAAGCCATAAAAGAATCAAGCAAAGGTTTTTAAAAATTTCTATCAAATCTCTTATTGAAGTCATACCCCCAAATTTCAAATACCAGTGAACATATTTATTTTTTACCCCCTCCAGTCCCTTCAAAGAGGATCATTTCCCATTCAGACTAGAAGTGCTTGTTATTAACTCTGAACCATGTCATAATTCTTTCATCTCCGATCAACTTTCTATAATCTTTTCGTTTAAAAAAAGCAATTTCCACTTTGGTTTATTCTAGCTGGAAGCCCATCAGCTTCACAACTCCCCTATGACTCTCTCTCTCTATATATATAAATACACAAATTTCATTGAGTAGGAACCACCAAGACTAAGACAGTGGTACCTCACTGTAAACCCGCGAATCTTAACTAACACCACAAGCTGGGGGTGCAGGTAGGCACACGAAGTTCCAGGCGCAACCTTTTAAAAAACTCACGTTTCTAAAAAAGAAATGTCAAGTGCAGAATAAATCTCCATGGTGTCAAAGACGTCTGTACCGTAGAAAAGCACACCGAATGCAAGCAGGGGCCACCTCTGGGTGTGAGCCTCTTTCCACACACATCAAGCTCTCGACTTTGAACTACAAGCGTGCATCCCTTTTAGGGACCAGGAAAAAAAAAAATCAGTCCCTTGGCACAAAGAGAATGGAAACCTTAGGTTTCTAAGCTTCGGGTGTAGGCACTCGGAAAGTGAGTTGTTTTGCACGTTTTTGGTTCACAGGTGAGATGCCAGGCCAGCGGTGGAGTCCCTATGGGCGGGAGAGCCCCTGGGCGTGGCGCACCTGCAGGGGGCGGGGCGAGCGCACGTATGCGTCGTGACGTCACGACATTGTGACTCCCTGCTATATAAGCCCCGGCCGGCAGCCGCGCTCTCCACTTCGCCTGCTTCTGTCTGTCGCCCTTGTTATCTTTTGCGCCAGGGCAGCGAATCGGACGCTCGGCAAGCGACAACTGAGATGGGCGGAGGCATGATGGTCAGGCTGGGGCTGGGGCTGCTGCTGCTGGCGCTGCTGCTACCCCCGCAGTTGGAGGCCGAGATTCCACCCTTGGTACCCAGCGGCCTGCCGAACCTCGAGTCATCTGCCATCAGCGTGCTGCAGTGCTCCATCAGCGTCCTGGTCTTGTCGCTCTCCTTTCTCCTCCATCTCTACTGTTAAGCTCAGGCCGAGAAACATCTTCAGTCTCCAGCCCATCTTTAGGAACTTTGCAGGTGGCGTCCGGAAGATCAGCGGAAGGCGGTCCCCGTCTGGGTTCTAACTCCACCCTGTCGCGTGGGCCCGACGACGCCGAGAACTCCGAGTCGCAGGAACACCCGAATCCGAGGATCGAATCCGAGGATCGAGGCCGGAGTTTCGCGTGCGAGAGGGAAAAGACAATAGGCCAAATGAGGGAAGGAAGGGGTTTCATGACAGGCGACTTAAGGATACGGACTCTAACAACGTGAAGAAGAATAGATTTCACCTTGAGAGGAAAAAAGATGGGATGTGGAATGGAGATTGTTTTTATTTCGAGACACCAGATTTGTAAGGCCATAAAAACGATTATGTACCACAAAAGGCTTCTGCGGTTTTCTTTATGTTCACTCTAAAGTAGTCATGGCATAGGCGCTGACGGCTTACCTTGTTACTTTTTGTTTTCTGGGCCTTGGGACTTTTTTCTCCAGGGGTTGAGTCTTTGTCAAGGGCCAGGGTAAGGATGGACTGGGATCTACTCACATCCAAGCAAAAGGAGTCAGCCTTACTCATTCTCATGGAACAAGCATGTCCGGTTCATGTCACGGTCTAACTTGACCTGGTTACACGTAATAAAAGAGCAAAGTGCTGCTATTTTGCTTGGGAGTGGTGGCCCACGCTTGTAATCCCAGCGGCTTAGGAGACTGAGGCAGGAGGATCGCAATTTCTAAGCCAGCCTCAGCAACTTAGCAAGGCAAATTTCAATTTAAAAATAAAAATAAAAAACAAAAAACAACAGCAACAAAAAACAAGCCAGGGATGTGGCTCTGTCAAGAGTCCCTGGATTCAATCTGTGGTTTTTTTTTTTTTAAATGCTTTTTTTGTGGACAAGTAGATGATGGGGCCCTGCCTTCTTTCAGCCATACCAATAAGACTGGCCCCCATGAACAGATGAGCTGGGTTTTGTTTCCATTTCTCAATAGAAATGAGACTTCAGATACCCCAGGGTTTGGCTCCCTGTGGAGCCACGGAACCGTTGTGTCAATTCTAAAAGTCACAGAGGCTATGTTGAAGACTAGTGTCTCTTCACCAGTTTTGAATCCCTTGTTCACTCATGATGGTGCAATTATTGGATTCGATTTTCCCCATCTCTCTGGTTTGAGTATATCGGAAACTTGGTTTTCAGTGCGGCAAGGTGAACAGGTAGAGGGACTTTAAGAGGTGGAACCTCATGGGCGGTCCTTGCTGGCCCCTCTCATATCTGATTTCCTGTCTGCCACCATTGTGATGCCATCTGTGATGCAGCCAGAAGGGCCTTACTAGAGCTGAGCCAGTGCTTGTACCATGCCCTGGAACCTCCAGAACCAGAGATAAATAAACTCTTTCATTTTGAAGAACCCAGCCTCAGGCATTTCGCTGTAGTAACAGAACATGAACTAATAACACACCCTACCTGGCTTCTGTGCCTTTTGCCGTGTAAATTTCTGCGTCTTCCACTGTCAGAGGAAGAAGGTACTTCCTGGATCCTTGTTCTTGGTTTCAGTCACATGACTTGCTCTGGACAATGGGATATTAGCAGAGGAACAAGCAGTGGTTTGGAATGTACACTGTGGTCACAGTGTCATGTGTCCTTTTAACTTCCTGCCTTGGTGACCCATGGGTGGGTGAGATGGCACAAAGGAAACTGCCACCCTAGAGGCTCAGAGCAACTGAGTGGCTCAGAGCTTGGAAGAGTCAGGGATACAGCACTCTGCCTGGCTCTGAAGCTGACTGCTGGTTCTCCCTGAACCGTGGTGCCACTCACAACTGTCAGAAAGCACATGGGCTGGGGTGAACTGTGGTGGGGCAGATAGTGTCACAGACCACTGTGACCAAGGGAACTGAGGAAGAGCCCAGGAGGGCCCCACCCGACAGGTGGACAGAGATACATGGTGGGCCAAGAGGCTGGGAACGGGGAATCCATGGCAGGTTCCGGGCAGAGGGGAGAAGGTTGCAGGGGACGGAGGAGCCCTGAGAACCTGGGCTGGCTGGGTGGATGCAGGGGGAGAGGAAGCAGGCTCACAGGGAGAGAGGCGGAACCTAGCCAGGGTGGGTGCAGGCCGAGGCTCTGTGATCAGAGGATACTTGGAAGGAAATGGGTACAGGAAGCCCCCAGCTGTGGGTCCCTGAGGTCTGGGGGCTAAGGCTGCATTCTAACAAGGTCCCAGGAGATGCCCACACTGCAGGGCTGGGGAGTCGCAAGAAGGGAGAGAGGAGGCCCACACAGGCCCGACTCCACACCCAGCCCTGACCCCTCCTCTCCTCTTTGGCCATTTGCTAAAGTTTGCTGGGCTTCAGTCCCCCTTCTGTGACATGGAAGTCACACACCTTAATGTGATTTGGGGACTAAATGAGAAGAGGTGGGTGTGCTGGGCTTGCAGTGGATGCTCAGTAGAGAAAGATGAGGGTCCCTTCCAGGAAGTGGGTATTTCCTTTGCCTCAGGCAAACCACCAGGTCCACAGAAAAAGCTTACATCCCCTTCACAGGAGGCCAGAGACTGTCATCTGAGCCACTCAGCTGGCCAGTAGCTGGGCACATGCACTCTGCGTTTTCTTAGGGGCTCCAGCCCTGAAGACGAGGGCCAGGCCATAGAGGTTCTCCAGCAGGGATCACCCCACCCACCGCACACCTGGGATCTCATACTGCCCTCAAAGTAGCTCTGTTTGCAGGCAAAGGACCATTTGTTACCAAGAACACAGAGGCCAACCAAAGTTGATCACACAGCCTCACACTGGAAATCCATGTGCTGAGATGGCCCATCCCACATCTGTGGGCAGCTGGACCTTGGGGGCCTCGCACCAGGCTCATCTGTTGGGGTCAGTGGGCAGAGAGGCTTCAGGAAACATCCCTAATGTTGGGAGTCTCCCTGAGAACTCCCTGGGCCTTTCAGATAAGGAGCCCCTAATGCAACATGGCGACGGGCAAGTTGCCAGTGCGCGGATGACAAGTTGTTTTGAAAACCTTCTAATTGGCCCTCCCGTCTTCCATACACGTGGACAGTTCGTGCCCCCCCATGAATCTTATGCAGGGCGGATGTGGTGCACCATAGGTGATGACCTGACCTTGACTATGATTGGCCCCGGAGGCTTCCTGGTTTAAGATAACTGACTCTCACTTTCTATATAAGCTAGCACCAGCTTGCAGTCAAGTGCCTCATCTTTGTCACTGCTGTGTGTGTGTGTGTGTGCATTTTAATCTCCGATGACGAACCTTGGCCTTTCACCTAATATCTTGCCCTCCGTGTCCTCATGAGATACAGATCTGCTGCTACCAGAGAGCTGTTAGTCGTCAGGCAGAGGAGAGGGGCTGTGGGAGAGGAAGCCAGGATCTCACTGCCACACCCACCCTCTGACACCTTGGGGGGGCCTCTGGCCTGGGTCCTGGGAAATCGACGCCTTTGGAGGCTTCACCTGGGATTGGAGCCATGGCGGAGCTATCGGAAGACATTCCTGGTCCTGGCTCAGCTCCTGTTGGGAGGCCTGGGCCTCTCGCAGAGCTTGCCCCTGGCAGGAAGCTGACGCAGAGTCACTGTCTCCAGGGTGACCCGTCCAGGGCCCGTGGCTCAGGAGGCCTCAAGGGAGGGCCTGGGCCTGGAGAATCAACTCATTGTTCCTAACTTGCTCCTGGATTCTGGGCCCACCTGTGGGAACCGAGTGAAAGTCAGTGCTGTACAGAACCCCATGCTAAGTCCCCCTCGGGTGACTCAGCTGGGGTCTGGGTCCTACTGAACTTGTTTTGTCCCAACTTGGTGATGGCTTCTGAAGGAACACAGGGGTGTCCAACACTGCCCTGTCCCTCAAGTCAGTATGATCCGCTCGGAAGTTGGGAGAGTGGTAGGATTCAAATTAGAGGTCCGTCTGCCCCCTAGACCTTGGCACCTGCCTCAGACCCCAGGGCTGTCCACGCAGGGGGACACCGCTCTGAGCCCAGGAGGTTGGAGGAAGGACATTGGGCTCTCCTAGCCCACATCTTGGATGCCAGTGCTCAAGGTGCTTGCTGGAAAGGACCTTAGGTGTAATGAACTGGTTTTATGTACATTTTACATTATTATTAAGGGTCATTCCCTTCAAATGAGACCAGACGTGAACCCCCCAGATCTAAGACCCACGGCTGCGGAGCTGCTCAGGTTTTGCTTTTTTTTTTTTAAAAAAAAAGAAAGATGCTTCCAATCCAGGAGTATCATTCTGTAGTTTACTCTTCTAGAGATTTCTTTGATTTTTGTTGACAAGGTCACACCGTCTTCAAGAAATAAAGCATGTGTTCAAAGTCGCTGCCCTTTCTCATCTGAATGGTGGTTGGAGCTCACCCGTGAGTCAGTGTGGATCTGGAATTTTCTTGGTGGACAGGTTTTAAATTAGGAATTCAGTCTGTTTACCAGATCCAGCTTTATTAAGGTCCTCTGTTTCTTCCTGTGTTTGTTTTGGTGATTTGTGTCTTTAAAAGAATATAACCATTCTCTCTAAAATTGATTGGTGTGTTATTAGCAATCATATTTTTCCCTTTAATTTTGTTAGAATGTGTAGTTAAGTTTCCTTTTAAGTTCTTTGTACTTGTGATTTGAGACTTTTTTCTTGATTGCCTTTGTTAAAGTTTTTTTCAACTTCATTAATCTTTTCAAAGAATTTTTGTTATTATAGATTTCTCTATTCATTATCCTGTTTTTAGAAAGTGATGCCTGTGTCCCTATTTCTTTTAGTTATTTTCCTCCTTACTTGAGATTTATTTACCTCTCTCCCAAAGTCTAGAAGAAGAAGAAAAAAATTGAGGTCATCAATTTTCCTTCTTCTTTTCTAAGTAGTTAAAGGCTACATTTCCTTTAATTAGTATTTTATTACCTACAAATTTGATGCATTTTGATATGTTGTGTTTCAAAATACTTCCAAAATTTTATCTGTGATTTTTTTCTTTCACCATGGATTATTTGGATGGAGTTGTTTTATTCCAAAATATTTAAGCGTTCTACAGCTGTTAGTGATTTTGTTGTTGTTGTCGAATCATATTGTGGTTAAAGTTCAAACTCTGTAGGATTTTAATCCTTTAAAAGATGTTTTGAGAGCGTTTTGTGGCTCAGTGCATTGTCTGGCCTGTGCTTGCAAAGAATACGTGCCCTCCTGTTGAGGCGTCAGAGGTTCTATAAACACTAATTAGCTCAAGATGGTGTTGTTCAAGCCTCTGTTCTTAGTGATTTTATCAAGCATTTGTCTGTGTCTCCTTTAAGTTTTCTTATTTCTTGCTTTATTACTTTGAAGCTCCATTATTTGATGCTTAGATGTGTATATACACCTAGAAATGTTGTCCATTATAGATGAATTGTTTCTTTGTCATGAAATGTCCTTTGACCTCT